AGAAAGTTATGGACCGGACACGAAATATACCCTGTAACAGACTATGTTAATATTTGACCTCCAAGTGTGACCTTGACCTTGAAGGTAGGTGACTGCTTTTTGCGCATGACACATCGTCTGATTATTGTGAACAATTATGGCAAGTATTTACAAAATCCCTTCATAGATAAGAAAGTTATGGACCGGACACGACATATACCCTCAAATAGGCAATTTTGACCTTGAATGAGCAAGTGTGACCTTGACCCTGGAGGTAGGGGTCTGGTTGTTGCGCATGACACATCGTCTTATTATAATAAACATTTGTGCCAAGTTATTTCAAATTCCTTTCATAAATGACAAAGTTATGGACCGGACACGAAAGTGTGACGGATGGACAGATGGACGGACGGACGGACAGACGGACGGAGCCTATTTCTATATCCCCCTTTTTTCTTCGAAAAGGCGGGGGACAATAATGTAAACAATATATACACTGTAATTATGTGTGTAAAAGACTTGATAATACTTTGCTGATTCTATTAATAACAATTTGTCCTGCAAAAAGAAACAACAAATGTGTACACAATGTTGTGTACAAATATATATTCATATCAAAAAGTATGATCTTAAATCTTCTGACAAGGTATTTATATTTATGTTCCTAAACTGGATTTCTTTGTCCAACTTATTCATACCCCCATTAGATAAGTCATTGAAAAGTACATGTATGATCTAGAAGGAGTTCAATATCTAACAACAGCATTGCATCTGTTAAAATTTCTATGTTAAAAATGGGCATTACTCCAAAAATATTGCTACATTAAAGTTTCTGCACGATGACAAAGACTCAGCAGCACGTACAAAATTAGTTGATAGATTGTCCCAGCTAATGGGTACTTAAAAAAGAATCACATTATTTTTCTCTCACTCTTTTAGCCATGTAAGAGAATTCTTGTCAATTAAGAACAATTGTAAGAATAGCTTCAAGGAAAATTCACCACTACACACTGTATTGTTGTTATAGCAACATAGGCATTCATTATAGTTTGTGTGAAAGTCCTAATAAACAGAAACTTACTGGTTATGCAGCTATGCTAGTGTTCACCCTATTGTTGTTTTATCCACTTCTAGAACAATTTATTGGTATCTAAGAGCTACAGAATGATTACTATTGTTCTCGTAGAAACCTAAGTACTTATCAATAATAATAGGCATGATAAAGGACAAATTGACAATTCTGTGCTTCATAAAAAAATTATTTGGAACTTAGAAACAATTTTAAAACAGTATCATATATCATGCATAATGTAAAATTTTCTCTCTACAGGTGGGTACAGTACATACATTATACATGTATATGAATTGTCTACCTTAACCCTTACCATGCCCAATATCATAAATGGACTTGTCTATTTTTCAATCTGGACCCGCCTTTTCATCACATAAGGGAACATTTGTTTGTTTCGGGCTTTACGTCACCCCGACACCAGTATAAATCATATGGCAACATTCCAACTTTAATGTATACTGGTGGAAGAAGACCTCTGGTGCCCCTTTGTGCATTATTTCTGGCACAAACGGGCACCTGAGCAGGACCACTGACATTCTGTAAGCTAATTTTAAAATAAGTACCAACTGATAACCAAACTGAGCAGATCTTGGTCTGCAGTTGTGTACAAGTAGATTCAGTCCCAGCTTGTAGAAAAAGTTTTTTTACAATTAATTAGCAATACATAATGAGCCAGAGATCGATAAAATCTACTTACCTTCTGTTCTTGAGTAACAAACTGGTAAAGCTTATCCACACTAACAACTCTGTAACATTAAATATAAAATACTGACATTATCACAGTGTACCGGCATTAAAAATTCTACCAGCTACCTACAAGCAGTCTAGTAAATAGTCTAGTAAATCAACAGTTTATAAAAATAATTTTAAATTCTAAATTTGTCAGTGTTTATTAGTAATCATTTACTAAATTATATTGGTTGAATGACTGCGCTGTTCTTAACCAATGAAATTCTGTAAATGATTACTGATGAACACTAACCAATACATAGTAAACCCAAGTTGAAAATTTCTTTTAGTCAAATTGGTGTGATTTTCTGATTTCATACAAAGTTTTATCAAATCAAGAAATCCTGTAGCCAAATTAAAGTTACAACATTTGCCAAATGGCTAAAATGGCTAATAGCAGAGTGAGCTCAGGTTAACATTGCTTAAAATCATTCAGAAGGTTACAGCTTTACCCTATGTTCATGGCCTACTTAAAATTTTGCAAAGAATTTTACCTGAAATTATCACAAGCTTCTTTAAATTTTATGGACTATTTTACCTGTCATTGTGTAGTTTCTTCATGTACGCACTAAAGTACTCATCTATTATCTGAAATATAGATTATAATCAATTAATTAAAACATACCTCACAACAGCACAATGTAATATAAACACCATCAACCACAGACACTTTGGGTGTGGAGCTCAAAAGGCCTTTAAAATCCAAATAAAATGTATATTTGTCAATCGCAGCACATGTACTTACCATATATATCAAAAAACTTAATGTAAGCCGTTTTGAAAAAAAAAAAAAAACAAAAAAACTTTCAAAGTCTATAATAATAATAGACTTGGAAATATAAATTTTTTCAAGACGGCTTATTTTAAGTTTTTTTTTTTTATATATATGATCAGTACATGTGCTGGGATTGACAAAATATGCATTTTATTTGGATTTGAAAGGCGTTTTGAGCTCCACACCCCAAGTGTCTGTGTCATCAACTACTGAATGATTTCATTATATTTAAATCTTTTGATTTAACAGACTCTAAATTCATAGGAAGAGAAGGCTCAAAGGAAAGATAAGACAAATAAGAGAAGGCTCAAAGGAAAGATAAGACAAATAAGAGAAGGCTCAAAGGAAAGATAAGACAAATAAGAGAAGGCTCAAAGGAAAGATAAGACAAATAAGAGAAGGCTCAAAAGAAAGATAAGACAAATAAGAGAAGGCTCAAAGGAAAGATAAGACAAAATAAGAGAGAAAGGGTTAACAAATTATTTGAAATAATAAACAAAACAAAAAAGAATGAATTGTAGGATGATGGACAGCTTATGTATCAATATAATATTATGATGTAACACAATTTAAATTTTTCATTGTTATGTTCCTTTCATTTTTGTCAATTTTCTTTGATAAAGTTATGTTGACGTATTTATCATTCCACCGATGTAAGCAGGAAAACCTTTAGGCCTATGTACTACATGATAATATACTGTTCAACCTCCGTTGGCTCGAACTACGATCTCTCGAATAAATTTGCACAGCCCTCTGAGTTCTAGCGAACAAAGTTTGACTGTATTTTTTTTCCCACATAATGTAATATGACTTGATGTATCTTAAGTAAAGAGCTGCATATATCATAAATAATGAGAATATGTAGTGGAAGATATACATTATCTATTATGTAAAAATCACATAATTTTTTATCAATTAAATAATCAATTTTATATCAAAATGTTTGCTGCCATTCAAAAAATGTTTCCAAACAATACAATATGTTAAGAAGAACTAAACTAGATGAAGCATATTTTTAATACAAGTATTGCAGTGAAGAAAAAGATCATTAAGTTATTTTTAGCCCTTTTTCTTTTTTATTAATGGATATAACAATAGTGTGTGCCTGGAGAGAGGGGTGGGTGGATTTATAAACTGTTTTATGGAATGTCATAGGTTAGTAATACATAAATTATTATTGGAGGGGAATATACTACAAATGAAGTACACTGCTGATAGGATGAGAAAATTCTGATAATGATAACAGATTGAATGAGATTGAACAAAATATGATAATTTTCGTAAGTCAAGAAAATTCTTTTTCTTATATAATCAAGAATTGACATTCAGGGTTTTCATTTATTATCTGAAGCAACAGATGTGCTTACCAAAAAAACAACCAATTTGGCCAAGGGTCAAGGGAGATATTTTAATCTACTGGCTAACAAAAAACCAATTTGAATAGATGATATAGACCGCCAATCTCTTAATAATGAAAACCCTGGATATTATGCATATTTTGCATATGATTTTGTATGTCATACTATTATACAAACATATACTTGTAATTTTATAAAGGAATGTACTATATGGTAGAAATCCCCTCCTATCTTTTAAGTACTAGACAAGTAATTGACAACAATTATCATCCTATTTTCAACAATTAACAAATTAGTGCATCTTTTTTCATGTAAAACACTTAATATATTTCCTTATATTTGTAAACATCAAACAGAAGTACAGTGTGAACTTAAATACCACAAGTTTTCCTCTTTTTTCAAGCAGTTAAAGTTTTTTTGTTTCATAATTATTTGAAGTAAAATTGAATTTGAGTCTTTAGATTGTAAAGTAACATTACTTGTTATATTTAACAATACTAAATGCTTTAGTTTTATTGTAAATTAAATCAAAATGTTATTTTTTTAAAACTGAAATTAACTTATAGACATGTATATCTACTTCAAAGGCAAGCTTATATATCGTGACAGTATATTGGTATAAGGGGAAATTGGTGTAGATGAATATAAAATAATTTGCTTCACATGGTTGTTCAGCTGAGATTTAACTGAGATTTGGAGCCATTCTGCCAGAGATATCAACAAAACACCTCATGTAACTTGTTTTATCATTAGATTCTGAGTGGTCATAACAAGTTGTATGTGACATCATATTTAATTAAGGTCACCCAAGCAGCACTTTATAAAGTCAAGATTCTGACTAGAAAATAGCTGAAACTAATTAATTTCTTCAAAACTAATCTGAATGGTATGGTCATAGAAATTTAACAAGTTAACAAGTTTGGTTTCCTCAATAGCCAAAATAAAGTTCACAAAATCTGACTATTTTCTTAAATGGTTGCAAAATTAATACTTTTATCTCTGACTAAAACAATACAAGGAACTGTAAGTTACAGCTGGGCAGCTCTGAATCTTTCTGTATCAAATATGGTAAATCCTATAAATTATGGCCACAATAAAATTGAACTACAACAAGTCTGCTATAAAACCTTAATTCTAACAAATCACTTTTAATTCAAGCACAATTTTATGATGGTAAAAGAAAATAAAACTTTTCAATTTGGATTTAGCTAGAATGAAGCCATATTTATTCTGACACAGGGAATTAACTGTCAGTTCAGATAACTTCTAATGTTTCCTCTAAATATGTCTAAGCACCTATTAAAATTTTTATATGCATCAGACACATTACTTTATAATAGTACATTACAACTGAATTTTAGATTTTATGGGTTTTTTTTATCCTTATTATTAAGAAAATAAAATATCCCTATTTCATATTATCCTTAATTATCCTTATTACAAGGCACTTTTTAAAGTGACATTTTGCCCATCCAAAGATATAATTATAATGAGTGAACAAGTGGCAGTCAAAAGACAAGTTTACATGTTTCCATAATTCCTTTTAGCTTCACAAATTTCCTTGTATGAAAGAACGATAAATCACTAACATGGCCCAAGAATATTTCTGAAAATATCCATTGGAATTGTTTCCCTTTTATAAGCTATATCAGTTAAATATGATAAATAACAAAGGAAAATCAATATCTTTAATGTTGACATTAAGGGGAGATAATTATTAAAAGGGATTTTGCCAATTAGTGGTGAAGGTGTCTGCCTCTAAATCCAAGGATCAAGGGTTCAATCCCCTCTGGGATCACTACCATGTTTCTTCATAATTACTACAACAGTACTAGTTAAATGCAGGAAGCAAAGTCAAAAGTGTTCCAAATAAGGTAATCACATTCAAACTTTTCTTCACCATTTAGCTTATCAAGTAATCAATGTTAAAACTATAATGACAACTTATCATTATTCTATTTTAAAAACGTCTAAGATTCAACTTTTCCAGTGTTAAAGGTCAAATCTTTTTGTTTAACACTTTGAAAATACATGTAAGTTCTAAATTGACCTTTAAATACATTATGTTTAAATAGCATACCATTATTTTAACAGAATTCAAGTTCAGAAACTTATTCCTTTTTGAAAATTCATTTAAAAAATCATGCTCATTATTAAAATAATAAAAACAAATCCCCAGAAAACATTCCAAGAAATAGGACTTGCGGGTAAAACAAATATCAGTTGAGTTAAAAGTTTTGAAGGAAATGTTGTCAAACACTGCATGCTTCATGGACTGTCATTCACGGAAGATGAAAAACAAGATAAAAACAGGGCAATTTTCATAAAAGAAATAGGTTTAAAATAAATCTCAAACATTCATTATAATTAAAAATAGAAACAGGTAAAGAAATGCATTTTCCATTGATAGATTTAAGATGACCATATGGCCATACTACTTGACTTTTATCAGTTGTTTTGTACACACCTACTTGTGTTGCCCAATATATTGTCTTAATCAGTTATGTATTAATAACAAGCTGGCAAAGCATATAGACCATTATTAATATCTACGATTTATTGATATTTGGTGAAAAATATCGATGATATACCGATATATCAATCATTACTTAATATACCGGTAATTACTTGTCTATAATTCACTTTCATACTTGATTAAATGTTTTCAGTAAAGACATGTTAAATATTGTGTTGTGTCGTGTTTATAAATGCCATTAGAATGATTTTTTTTACTCATCACTGTTATGAAATAATTATGTCCATAACATCAAATCAACAACATTTAAGTCCAGGGACTACTGCTTCTGTAGATGTTTGGGGTGAAATTTTATTATATGTAGTCATTTAATTAGTTAAAATTATGTATCATTTATTTTATAATTGATCAACAAAAATATCAACGACACATCGATTCTGTTTCATTAGATGACAGGGCATCTCTTAATGACAAGATACTTTGAGAAAAAATTTTACTTATAGATTGTTAACAACACAAGCATGTTTTGTCTTGAGGAGATGCTACACATATTAAACCTTGTTTTATTGAACTATCAATTTAAAGCTACAGGCAAGGTACCCATTGCCACACCATTACTTCCTTGTTACCATGGTAGCAACATTTGAAAGTTTTACCCATAACAGACTTTTGAAATTTAATTAAACATCATTGTGCTTATAATCATTTTATAATGTTTCTTGAGATTTTCTTTACATTATTGTCTATGAAGTCATTTCCACATAGAAAGTCAGAATTCTTTGACATATAAGCACTTTTAAAATTGGTACAGACTGAACAATAGAATATGGTATGTGCAGGCTATCAGACTCTTCTAGTATGCAGATTTGCAGGGTCTTTTTTTGCCGTCTTATCTCTTACAGTATTTACATCAATATCTATCTCTCTCACTGTACAGACAATTCAATTTAATCTACAAGTTGGAGCCCAACAATTTTGTCATCTACACATCGATCTGCTGTTTATATTTTATGACAAAAATACACCAGTAAATATTCAAAGCTGAAGCGTTACGTTAAAACTTTCTAGCTTACTAAACTATATTTAACTATTATATTAAGCCTACTTGATATTGAATAGATACAATGGCAGTAATAATGTTTTTTATGAAACACTTAAAAAAAAATTTTTTTTCTTATTTTTTTTTTTTCTGGTTGGGGGAGGGGGTGTGAGGCGGGGGGGGGGGGGGTGTTTGTCACACCAAGATAGTACAGAGTGATACAGAGACCTTCCAGCTTTACTGATGGAGGAAGACCTTAGGTACCCCTCCGTGCATTATTTCAGGCACAAGCCAGCACCCAAGTAGAACCATTAATGTTCCGTAAGCAAGAAGCACCTTTGTACAAATTTTCAATAAGCTTAATTAAATAAACATTAATAATATTTATTCTGGATTACAAATGATGAACAAATGTGAACCTAAGGAAAAACTGCCATGATGAAGGTGTTATTTTAAAACAATGACTCAGAGCTTAAAACATTAATTTGTATCTTGATTTTTATATTAACAGATGATTAATTTGATCACGTCTTTATGCATAACTTATAAAAGATATAACTTACTATAACCTATAGGGAATTTTCTATACATCCTTAGTGTTTGAAATTATTTTTTTTTCCAATTAAATTGCAGTATTTCAAATGAATCATAATAACACTTTTACTTTAGTAAATCGGCTAAATTTAATCAGTAAATTGGCAGTTTAATGAAAATAACTTCAAACAAGCATTTACTACATTAAATTGGTTGAATGGCTTTGCCGTTCTTGATTTTGTAAATGGTTACTTATAAACATTAACCTATACTTATTGTTATAATACAAAAATTTACAATTTTAAAATTCCAGAATAAGAACACACATGGCAATCTAATAACATGTAATAAGCGTAAACCTTTTCCAGATTATAATATCTGTGACAAATAAGCCGCATCATGACAAAACCAACATAGTGTGTTTGCGACCAGCATGGATCCAGAACAGCCTGCGCATCTGCGCATTCTGATCAGGATCCATGCTGTTCGCTTACCAACCCTATTACAAGTAGAGAAACGGATAGCGAACAGCATGGATCCTGATCAGACTGCGCGGATGCGCAGGCTGGTCTTGATACATGCTGGTTGCAAAAACACACTATGTTGGTTTTGTCATGACGCGGCTAAATTCATTTTAAATTAATCCCTCAGAAGCAATGAAACAACGATATTATATGAAAATTGCAGACTCAGTCTGAATACTAACGCTAAAACCCTTGATAATTTTGTATAATGGATTTTCCATGCTTTGAAATTTGAAACAGTCCATTTAAGGAAATTTGAAAACAAACAATTTAGATACTATCTGTGGATAGTCAGTTAAGACTGAAGGACATGCAGACAGGCCTGGCTAAAATGTTTTATAAATTAAATGATCGAGCCAGATTTGGTAATGAACAGACAAAGAAGGTATCATAACAAAACTTTACTCACTGCTTACAATGCTTTAAACACCAGTCACATACATTATCATTGTTTCAAAAATCTACTACATGTATAAAACAGGTTGAAACTGTCTCAATACATAAAAGATTTAATCATATAAAGGTTTATAGAATAATAAACTTGGATTGAATATAATTATGCTAACAAGTAGATGTTTTATTTTGACATTAAAAGTCTCTTCTGATAAAATATAATTTAAATACAACATACAGCAACTTAGACCAATTATTGACAGCACTGTATTTAACATAATTATAATCCAATTAAAATATAGTACATGGAACTACTTTTTTCAAAAGAGACTTTTAACATCAAAATGAATGTTATAAGGTAAATGAAGCAGTGGGTATTTATACATTACCGCCTGATGTAATCATGTATGAAAACAAACGACATATAATATAAATCAAATAACAATCTTAGCTCCCACATAGTAAAATATAAATAACAAGCAATTATCATAGTATTGCAAGCAATCCATAAGTCCCCTATCGGTAAGAGCCAAAGCAACATTTTGAAGGGCCGTTGGCCATTCACTAAATAGGTTCCTATTTTAAGTAAATTTGTTGAAAAAGTTCTTTAAAAGTGATCACAGGAAACAGTTTTTATGTACAGACAGACGGACTGAAGGACACTCTAAAGTTATTTTTTAAACATCCCTGTTATCAAAATATAACATTTTTAAAATCCTATCATGATTGAAGAAGTTGGAGTAAAAATTACCAATTTCTCAAAAAAAAGTTTAAGTTAAAAAGGGGCATAATTCTGGAAATAGTCTTGCTAGAGTATTGAACACTCATAAATGTTGAGTGACAATAAGAAACATTTATAATTATGAAGTTTGAATTAGATACATCAAGAACTAAAGAAGTTATTAAAAAAAACATTTTTTTTCATGAAAATTTAAAGTTCATGGGAGGTAATTCTGATATTTTTTGTGCTAGAGATGTAAACCTTGTCACATATGGTGTGGTTGATGACAAGAAACTTATATTTAATGTATGAAGAAAATACCTTAAGAAATAAAGAACTTATAGTGAAAAAGCATAAAAACTAGTATCAGAAATCTTGAAATTCAGTCTACTTGCGCCATAGCAACCACAATTTTCAACACAGGAAGTAAAGAAAATGATGTGCATAATTTCCATACTGCCATCTACCCATATGTCAAGTTTCATAAACATATTTTCAGTACTTTTTGTGTTATCACTGGATCCAGGTTATGTGTAAAATTTGCCATATTTTCAGTCTATTTGTTGCCATAGCAACCAGAATTTTCAACATAAGAAGAAAAGAAAAAGACGTGCATAATCTCCATACTGCCATCTATCCATATATCAAGTTTCATAAAAATATTTTCAGTACTTTTTGCGTTATCGCGGGATCCAGGTTATGTGTAAAATTTGCCATATTTTCAGTGTATTTGTTGCCATAGCAACCAGAATTTTCAACATAGGAAGAAAAGAAAAAGACGTGCATAATCTCCATACTGCCATCTATCCATATATCAAGTTTCATTAAAATATTTTCAGTACTTTTTGCGTTATCGCGGGATCCAGTTTTGTGGACGGACGGACGAACGGACAGACGGACGGACTGACGGACGGAGGGTAAACCTAAAGTCCCCTCCGGTAAACCGGTAGGGGACTAAAAAAAAACAAATATCTGATTTATCAAACGCAGAAATTCATTTTCTGGCTTAACAGATAATCAGGTTCGGGGGAAATGAATCTGTCCAGAACAGAATGCAATTTAAATTTACCAATAAACAAGGTTTCATACTGTATAGGAAAATGTCAGTTCAAATTTAAAGGTCTTAAACCTTTTCAAAATCAAGTTCTGACTGGCATATTAAGGAATTAATGGAACACTTGTATTAGTATATAGTAAAAAACAAGTGATATGTGTATGCCAAAAAATGGCAACTTATGTTATTATCATATAACTAAAGTTGCCCCAACTGACCCCAAAATCAACAAGTTATCTACAGGTCATGAGTAACCCTTCTCACCGCATCTCCTTCAACCTCAGATTCTTAGGATCATATTTAGCTAAATATTTTTTCTATTTATTGATTGCACAAGGTCTGGTACACAAACCAACAAAAGCAATATATAACCCTTCTCCATTGATGGGTGTGTGACATATCTAGAAATAATTTACAAAAATGTTGTTGCAAAACCTCAATATACAACATTAAGACTATAAGTCATTAGTCTGACTAGTGCCTTTACTAAGAGGACTTCATGTCTCGACAATCACATCCTGGCAGATTTGTTACCAGTGACCTGTTCCACTTGAACAACACTATTTATAATCTCAGTAAGCAACAGATGACACCAGACATTTTTAGGGGTTTTTGACCAAGCTTTGCAGAGGTTACCTAACTTTTTGATTTGGTATTTGTTTATCAAATATCAGATATAAGTAATATTATAAAATCATATCTTGTCATAGAATTCTTTATTTGATCAATGGGAAAATAAACTCTGGTTTAAACTTAACTTTCCTTGTTGCATGAAAAAGCCTATATGAAGTCATTTACTGTTATACTTACATTAGGCACATGGATCAAGTAATGGTACAATTTAACAAACTCATCGAGAGTTATTTCCCCTTTTCTGGTTGTATCTACACTCTGAAAATATAAAGCAGCATTTGATTCCATATTGTGTCAAAGCATGCCAAAATAAAGACCATATGGTCAAAATATGGTCAAAATATAATTCATGAATACGGCTGCAGTCAATGGTAAGGGGCGAGAGATGTTGCACTTTTACATTATTTCTAATGAACAGACTCAATCAATCCAAATCTGTAAGTTTTATATAATATTGTTTCACTGTTTCCAAGGGATCACACCTAATGCGGACTTTTTTCTTCATATGACTAAACAAATTGTAATAACATTAAAAACATGTGATATCATATAACATAATGTTTATTATATCTATATACATGTTTATCTAATTTAAAGACATATAATTATTTAGTGACAAGGAAGGGCTACTTTTGTTGAAACATTTTCATAAAATACTTCAGTATAAACTCACATTGGCTACAATAAAAAGGGGGAACATAAAATGGCAACCAATGCCTTTCATACAGTAACTTGAATTATGTTTTTCTCAAGTACATCACAACGAATATTATGAACACTTCAACAGAATGTTTTGTTCAATATAAGTGGACTGTCATAAGATAATTACAGAAATAGTTATTATATTCAACTACTGGACAGTTAACAATACTTAACATAGTATTACACAGTAATGACATACTTGAAATTTCTCCCTCAATCTGTTAGTTGAGATTTTACAGTTGATTCTCGTTGTCCAAGATTTCACATTCTTCAGCGTCAACCGGTCAGCCTGTTCAGCACGCAACCTCTCTATCATCCTCATAAATTCCTTCGTCAGCCATCTGTAAACAAAAAGTCGAGAATCATTGCATTTTTTATACTGCACTTAAGTAACTAAACAAAGGCATTCACATGATCAGATATTAATGGCTTTATCTGAAAAAAATTCTGTTTCTGTTGAGATATATGATTCATATGGCCATGTCTAGAAGATCTGTCAGGAATAGTTGTTGGGTTAAGCACTCTCAACTTTTTTCAATACATACTAGTGAAAAAAGTTAAATTTCACAATAAATAATTCAAGAAAGGAACCTGAAATGTAGAGTAAGAAATTGCAGAAACATGAACCTCCTAAACAATAATACTTAAAACAACAGAAATATCCTGATAATAAAACAAGAAATGTGACTATATGACACTGATGCTACAACAATGATTTTGGTGTGTTTTGTTGTTTTTGGGATTCAAATCGCATCAACACAGTATCAATCATAATACGACTTTCCAGCTTTACTGGTGGAGAAAAACCTCTGGTGCCCCTCTGTACATTATTGCAGGCACACACAGGAACCCAGAGTAGAACCACTAATGTTCCGTAAGTTAGCTGGATAGCACTCTCACATATAGAATCCAACAACTTGCATGGCTGGAATCTACAATGATGAAAGGCAAATGGTAGTCAACTTGACCAAAGTGGCCTCAATGCCTGGGTAAGTTCACAATAGTTCTTCTTATTCTTCGCAAGTCAAGCTAATGAGAAATAAAAATTTATTTTGTGACAATGTAACAATTAATGCATCTTGAGTCTTTTGGCCAAATCTACACTGAATAAATAACCTCTTATTTTAGTATTCTGTAATGTTGACTTTGGTCATGGTTTAACCATTAGAAATTTAAAGTGGGGTTGTTGTTTTTTCTAAACTTTTTTTTTCACATGTTCAGCACATTCATGTAATATTTCAAACAGTTAGAAGATGACAGTTTCATAATACTATAATCATGTTAATGTCTTTGCATAAATTTATAATATATCATACATGTACCAGAATAAAATTTGAACAGTAAATCTTTTCATTTTACTGCCTTGTTTTAATTTTCAATTTAATTATCATATTAAAAAGATTAAGAAAATGGAATATGAAGATAATTCAGCTGACTAAAATTCAGAAAACATAAAAAAATTTAATCTAATGTATCTAATTAACAGAAAAAAATGCATTAACCGAAAGTGATAAGTCTTATAATGACACCTGTATCATCTAACGGCCAGGCCAGTTTGCACTTCCAAACAGTCTGTCACATGTCTTTTACTGTTGGCTTACTTCAAATTCTCATTTTAAATCCTTAAAACTGATTATGGGCAGTTCCAAAAATTTGAAGTTGCCAGCAGGAGAAGTCCATTCAAGAAATTTAGCCAGTTAAGATATGTCATTAAATAGACATAAACGAAACCTTATTATCGGAAAGAGATACATGTATAATATAAACAACAGATGATACAAAAATAATTCAGGGTTTTCATTTTTATGCGAGGCAACAGATGTGCCAACAAAAAACAACTGATATGACCAAGGGGTCAAGAGGGATATTTTAATCTACAGTTTGAAAATACATTCAACTGATTTTAAAAGCATTTCATCCGATGAAATGGATTGCCAATCTGATAATGATAAAAACCCTGTACAATATTCTTTAATGGTCTTATTTTGGATTTCACTGAGGACATTCCCTCAATATAAATTATCATGACCCAATTTATCTTTAAATTAAATACAAACACTTAAAGAAATCTAAAAGCATATTATGATAATAATAATTATTGTCTTGTGAAATGACTAAACAACCATAAAATAAATTTCCCAGCTATTTCTGAAAAAAGACCATCCTTTGTCAGGAGTCAATACATGTTATTTCTGTAAAAATAAATTCTGAACTTTTCACATATGACCTAAGGTTATATCTCTCTTTATTTATAAATATCTACCTAATTTTAAAGTAAACAGAAAAAAACAAGGAAGAGAATTTTCAAAACAAGATTTTTGTATTATTTTACAGGCATTAAATGTATTTTAATATACAGAGATAAATCTGTTAATCTCATTGGCTAGTTGTGAATAGTTTTATCATCAGTTTTTTGTTTGTTGTTTTTTTTTTGTTGTTTATTTTTTGTTGCTGTTGTTTTATGCTTGTATTTTTTAATATTGTTTAAAAATTAACAGTTAATTTTTAATTGAGGTTTTGTAAATGTTGACTGTATATAATTTATGTTACATTGTATGTATATGTTGTTATGTTACATTGTATGTATATGTTGTTATGTTACATTGTATGTATATGTTGTTATGTTACATTGTATGTATATGTTATGTTACATTGTATGTATATGCTGAGGCCCACATGTGCTAGCCTTATTAAATAAAGTTGTTGCTTGCTAAAAATGTTTGCTTACTTGCTTACTTAATACTAATCTGAGTTTAGAAAATCAATATTTAGTTAATAATGTTTGGTCTTTATGTATATAATATATATATATAAAAATTATATATATATAATATATATATATATATATATATATATATATATATATATATAGATATATATATATATATATATATTTCTTTTTTTATCGAGTTTTAATTATGTCTCAACACAGTGTAGGTCATATGGCAACATTCCAGCTTTACTTGTGGAGGAAGACCTCAGGTGCCACTCAGGTGCATTTTGCAGGCACAAGCGGGCACTTGAGTAGAACCACCTACCACATGACATTCTGTAAGCTTAGGCTGGATAGCTTTCACACATGAAATAATCCAGAGAGGCTTGTGTGGCTCGAACCTTCTATATATAGATCCACATTTTCATAAACAGAACTGAATTTAATACTGATAATCAGTGCATAGAGGTCACTTTACTTTTGTAACAGACTGTGTCTATAGCATGTTTATATGTACATGTTAATCTATTATGATATCACAGGACACAGTCTCAAGTAAAGATTACTTCCTGCCAGAACCATAACTATCAGTTTCTAAAGGAAATATTATACAGGATAAGACAAATGTTTTCCTTAAAAGCTTCTTGCGTGACCTGCATCTAGTGTCGTCTCCTCTATTTATTCAAGTAGACATAAGTTTTAGTAACATTTGTAAAATAATACAGCACATCAACTAACGAAACTTAAAACAATGAAACAAAACAAACATTTTTGTTTCATACATATTTCATTTCATACAACTTGTAAGCTTCATTTCTTAAATCTTAAAATTCTATGATAAAAATTGGCACAACTGAAAAAATAATGCTTTCAGAATAATGCACCTTGTCTTACAACTGCAGCTTGTCACAATAAGCAAGTCTTCGATGTTTCATGTCAACACCTTTTAAATTGTTTGAGTAAAGTACTTAATAACAAGAACGACAACGACTTTGCAGTGATCATGTGAAACAGACAAGTAATAAAAGTGATGCAAGTGTTTACGGCAATATATTTTCACAACAAAGAAATCAAACAGATATTCAAATTCTAAATAAATACTTCCTCAAAATGCCTAACCATATTTGACTTCTGCCAGGAACAATGACTTCTTTTGATTATAATAAATTACATTCTGTATCTGGAGAAAATCAAAGATGGAGATGTAGACATTTACTGACTCTGATTGTCTCACATTTAATCAAATGTTCAATCATTCTTTCCCCGAGTTAATCAATCACACCCACGTGACAATTTATTTGCTAACTTGATAGATCTAACAGTTCTGTTAGAAACCCTTGATTTTCTGCGAGATAATGGCAGCATTTACTTCAATCAATTAATCTGCTTGATTCATGTTACACTGCACGTGGCAACTGAGAGAACAAGCCAAACCTACTGCAACCCCTATTTTTACGACAATGTGTTTGAAAATAAAGCCTTATTCAGTTACGATTCTTTTTTTATACCCATCAGGGGTAAGTCGTTGTTTCTTGAGCAAGGAACTTTACACTCATTGCTCAGTACTGGTTGGTTTCAGGAACGGATTCGAAAGTGTGTCTATAAGCTTATAGCTTCCTACACAATCGAACTAAAATAAATTCTGTATAAACCAAAACTGCTTATGTTCATACTTTACAAATCATTTACTTTGGTGCAGGAGTAAAATCTATGCAGAAGACTTCCTGTCCTTCAATTACATCAGAGGACCTCACCTCTCATAAAGGTTCTCGGTTTATACAGAACTGATTTAGTTTGATTCTGAGAAACTCAAAGCTTAGACACACACTCGGATCCAAATCTTAAATGTTCTTGATTAGGCTTGGTAAAAAAAAAATTATTGTTGATTTACCAAGATTAGAATAAATGTTTAAGTGACAGTATGTACAATCATGTAATAATAAAGTTATAAACTATATATTAATATACGGTAAAATATAAAATATTTCTTAGATTTTTGTAACAAACTGTTAAGAGTGCAGTATCTTCACCATAACATGACATAAGTATCAAAAGTTCTCTTATTATAAATGATAAGAACCGTGTCATGACAAAACCAACATAGTGCGTTTGCGACCAGCATGGATCCAGACCAGCCTGCGCATCCCTGCAGTCTGATCAGGATTCATGCTGTTCGCTATCAGTTTATTAACTTGTAAAAGGGTTGGTAAGCGAACAGCATGGATCCTGATCAGACTGCTCGAATGCGCAGGCTGGTCTGGATCCATGCTGGTCGCAAATGCACTATGTTGGTTTTGTCGTGATCTGATGCCGCTCTTTTATAAATGCTCTCTTTGTACTTATTAGGTGACCTTCAATAGTATATTCACAATGTTTTGCTCAGTGAGGGGGTTTTTCATTTTCACCCATCCATTGTATTTATGTTAACAGCACTCCCTAAATAAATACAATGTGATATCTCTGAATATAATTATGTTTAAAGAAAATTAAAATGTTTATGTTTTACTTTTAAATTCTATGTAGGAAATAAAATAATTCAAGTTTTACAAACAATGTAAATTGCTGAATTTACGATAGAACTTATTGTAACTTTATCATCAAATCGGCCTTGTTGACAATCCAATCCTGTGAATTCCTACTGTTTAATCAGACCTAATTCATAAAAACAGTCTCAGCACTATAGCAAACATCAATTTAACAATCCTTCGGGCCCGATAAAAATGATTCCAAACAACATTTTCTAAGAGCGGAATCCCATTAAAGTAATTTAAACAGCAGTAATTATATCTGGCGTATTTAATCGGTCAAGTAAAACAATGAAATCTAGTCAGAAATATTACTGTCTGAAACATTTTCAAATCAATATCACTCTAAAGATAAGCAGAATGGTGTTGATGTAATACGACGAAAATCTTTTACGATAAAAAAATTCTTCCAGAGCTTTAACTTTAATACACTAGTCGAATAACTTTAAGCGATAGGAGGGCCTGTAGTCTTAGCGCAAATCAATTAGATTTCATGACAATTATGGACATTTTATTCCTGAATGAAATTGGAACAACTGGTAATAACTAGGAACAAAAATTCTATATACAAAGTACCAAGCAGTTTATCCAGAAAGAGATTTAATTCATATAATTTTAGGTTAAGGCAGGTTATTTTCAAAAGTACTTGCCCAACAGGGCAACTACCTGTTACAAAAAGGTCAATGGGCAAGTATGGACAAATGAAATTGCCAGAATCCATTGACTGTACTGCTGTCCCTTTATTTCCAAACTTCACAGATGAGGTGTTAACAATTATTTTACTAACTTGTACACTAGACTTTTAACTATGTTCAGTCAACCTATTTTTATATGTTCAGTCAGCCTATTTTTATATAACAGAACTACTGCATGAATTTCATTTGACATAATGGTTTGAATTCTACATGCACCATAAAATGATATTACAAGGACTATAGAACTAACATCACTTGTATATAGTACTATCATTTCTTCAAGGTAAGGTGATGACACACTTGCACTGGAACCATACGATCCCACATGATCACAGAGTGATACTGATACTGTGACTTAAATAATAGCACTTTAAGTAACACACATCCCAAGGTCATATTATCAATGGCATGGTAACAATACGACATTATGGATATCATAAATATCTGGGTCAAACATGCCATTTTCGGTTAGATTAAAACACAACGCAAAACTGGTACGAACGAAGCTGTACATTTACAAAATACATTTCCGAGACAAGGATAAAAACAGACATTTTAATCACGAAGAAGACCAAAAAGTCTTATACTAATATCCATAAGCCATAACAAGAAGCCATTTCAATACTGGTAATAGCATATCTAATTTAGAAATTCTCCTCTTATATGTAATATACAAAAGTATTATGGGATACACTTCTAAATAATATGAAGATCGAATTATAAGACCTAACAGTGTATCAGTACTAGACATACATAATGTACATTTTAATGAAAAGTTCATATAAAGAGGACACAATGTAACTTTCTTTCAGATAAAATGGCAAAAAATGTTATATTTCTAGTCATAAATAATATTGCTTCTCTCATTCTAGTTGATTTATTTGTTTTTATTTTTGTCATTCATAAATAAGTGCCGAGACTTTGCTGTATGTTTATATCCTTTTTTTATTAAAGTAGCATGCCTCCAGATAAAATTTATGCTTATTTTCATGAAAATTTTGAAAATTTATTTACAAGTTAAGTGTACATAGAAAGTAGCATACACATTGCAAAAGGCACTTTTAATTTAGTATGTTAATTACCAAAAAGAGGTAAAAATATGCAAAAATAGCCCTCATTGCTTTTAGTCAGGCAGTAGAAATATGGTGATAAATCAAAATAAATACGGCATATTGTATACATAACATGTAAATTATTGCTAAAATCTTTAATCTTTTTAGTATTATCTTAGAACATTTGCTTCATGTTTGATATTCTTGAAAGAAATTTGAGCCGCGTCATGACAAAACCAACATATTGGGTTTGCGACCAGCATGGATCCAGACCAGCCTGCGCATCTGCGCAGTCTGATCAGGATCCATGCTGTTCGCTTACAAACCCTATAACAAGTAGAGAAACTGATAGCGAACAGCATGGATCCTGATCAGACTGCGCAGATGCGCAGGCTGGTCTGGATCCATGCTGGTCGCATACCCATTATGTTGGTTTTGTCATAACATGACTCATTTGGCTCATCTAGAGGCATGCAGCTTTAAGTTCTAGTCCAAAAATCCAGGTGACAACCCATTAATTTTCATACTCTTGCATTCCGAATGTTAAACAGAATCAGTACTTTGAGAATTTCCAATCCTACGAGTATGGGGTAGATGTTTCTATACTTGCTTACCTTTCTACAAGACTGATATGTGAGACAGTGCGAGAATCTTCAATAAGTAGGTCCAATCCCTTATACCACTTGTCCCGTTCTTCCACTGAACTTGCTGTAAATATAGCAATATTTTGTCACAAATGCAATCAGAATGAAACAAAACAATTAATATCAAATAACAAAAACAAAATCTAGCAAAAAACTATAATAACAGTTGAATTTTAAACATGAAAATTACAATTAAAGTTAAACCCTAAAATACATGTATACTCTACACTGTGTAATATCAAAGAAAACAACTCAAATATTACAAATTATATCATAGTAAAACCTCAAATATCACACAATCAAATTAAATCAAAGTAAAACCTCAAATATCAAAATTAGAATCAGGAGTAGGGTCAGTTGGTCTGGAGCCAGACTGTACATATATAAAATAGTATCATATCAATTGCTCATGTGATTTAGCAGGGCTCATCCAGAAGGGCGATTCAGGCGAAAACTTCGCCGTGTATATTCCAATTTCGCTCTTCCGATTGATCAAAGAGAAGTCAACATCGCCGATAAAATCTTAATTCCCAAATAGTAATTACTTAGCGTTGTAAAGAGCAGAGATTGTATCCGCCCATATGACGACCGCTAATTATCATTATCCAATCAGAGCGTCGCTTTATACTACCCTTCTACCTGTAAGCGAAGCGATAGACCGCCTACTCTAAACAGTAAATAATGAGAGCATCGGCCCGAAACGGTATAATTGTGTGATAGTTTTGCGAGTTTAATACGGGATTTGGCGATAATTATAAATTGTTTTTTCCCCGATTATCTAAACACGTGCAATCTTCCCTAATTGATATACGCGATGCACTTCGATGGTGGGTTTTTAACCCGAGTAAAGGCGATGTGCAATGGATTTTTCACGGCTATCACAAAACTGTTAGTCATTTAAAAATAATCAATTTCATTAATGATCAGCGACCAGATTAAAAACTTAATCATAGTTTTGAATGATTTCAGTCTGTTAACATCAATTTTTACTGTAAAATTGTTATGTCGCTCACGTCATGGCTACAAGGCGAAATGCCGAAACCGAGCAGTAAGAAAGTTACTGATTCTGATAGTTACACCTAAGAAAGCCAATTCGCAAAAATCTAAGATTATCTTGCGATTGGTATGTTGTAGACAGTAGGGGTGTTTGGCATTATTCTCTTTGTAGAAATGCCAAATTTGACACAGTTTACGCACGTGGGCAAACTACATATCGGTCGTATATCATGTAACGTGTATATAACAACAACATTTGTCTGGAAAGAAGTGTTCTTATTGTTTCAAAATAAATTCGTAAATATGACGCTCAGATTAAGATTTATCAATATTGTAAATTTTAAAAAGCATTATTTATAAAGATATTACCGAATTTAACATTTCATGAAAATAAAGGGAGGTAATTAGAAATTAATTTTCTACAATTTCTCAGTCAAATTTTTCAATAAGAAATGAATGTATGTAATTTTAGTGATCAAATATAATGTACACAAATGTTTGCAGTACATATTTTACATATTCTTTGATGTTTGAAAATTGTTTTATAAGCATAATTATATGCATATAAATGTGACATTACAACATTCAGGAATTTGAGAGAAATTTCTGTTACCAGAACAGAATAGAACAGATATTATTAATCAATATCCAATGTGACTTCATCTTCTTTTAAAGGTGAAGAAAGTAAAGTAAAAAATATGAAATTGATTTTATCATCATATCTCATGAAAATATATAAACACATATTTAGAGAAAGCTTATAAATAGCTGATCAATAGATATCAAAAATAATTTTTTATATTCATATTTGCAGCTCAAAAACATTTAGATGCCATTGCCTGATCTACTACTAAATAATTAATCTACTTTTAATTAATACTACTATTAATTAATCTTCTATTAATTAATAAACTGGAGAAATATTATAAGTGATGTTAATTGTGTTTATATTATAATTAAAGGATGTATAGCCATGCATGTTAATGCATACACATTGGGTTGTTTCCCTTCTCCCTAATTTTCGCGAGGTCGTCACTTCTCCCTAAAATTTCCCCCCAGGATGAGCCCTGTTTAGGACAGGACTCCATGGACCAAAATTTTGATTTTTACATTTTCCTTTGCAATGGTCCTTTCAAATTATCAAATAAAAATGTGTCCATCGTTTCTTGAAATATTTGCAAAAATCTGGTTCGCTTAAAGGGTATAAAGCTATATTTTAAGAAATATTTTTATTACATTTATCAACAGTAAAATTATATTGGTTCCATAATCTTATGGTCAATTGAAAGACTTTTGACAAAGAATGCCTCTATTATTTAGCACAAATGAATATTGTGACTGTCCATAAAAAAATAAAATGTTCTGGAACAAAATACTATTCTGCCATTTTAAGCAGAGTAAAGCAATGATCTTGTGCATCTGCCATTCCCATTTTAGGATTTATTTCATACAAGAATTTTAGAAGTATTCTTTTTTAAAATTCAAACAATAATTTTTGCAGCAGATATATAGATTTATATGCTTCTATAACAACAAGAGCATCACAGTCATGCGGTGCCATACTTGCCTATTTAGGGCAACAGCTACATAATGTTACACTCAAGAGTGTTATGGCTGTAACATTATAAAATAACACAGTATAGGTCATTTGGTGACATTCAAGATTTACTGGTGGAGGAAGACCTCAGGTGCCCTTCCGTGCATTATTTCAGGCACAAACGGGCACCTGAGTAGAACCACAAACATTCCGTAAGCTAGCTGGATAGCTTCCTCACATGAAAAAAATCCAAAGTCCCTGTAGGGATTCGAACCCACAGAGTTGAGGGGCAAGTGGTTTGAAGTCAACGACCTTAACCACTCGGCCACAGACTCCCCTATTTGTGTATGTTAAATAACAGAGACATTCTACGTTACAACTCTTCTGTAAATTTACCATGAGATTATGGAACCAATATTATTATACTGTTTATAATATAAATTTTATTAAAATATTTTATAAAATAGACCTTTATACATGTACCCTTTAAAACCTATAAATTACTATAATATAACTTTTCCAGCTTCCTGTTTTAGAGATGTCAAGATGACAATTTCAATTAAGTCAGTCAACAAGTTGGTCAGATTGAACTTATCTAGATAAGCAGGCTTTATGTTTGGGGCAAAGGCTAAATCACTTCCCATTTCAGTAGGGCCAATGTTCAATGAGTCAAAATGTCTGGGTTTTTTTTAAAGTTTTGAATGTAAAATGCAAACTAAAAATAGCCTGTGTTTTTGAAAAAATCAAACTTAAAGTATAATAAACTACGAGTTCAAAGTATAAAAGATAAACTACCTCTTAGCAAAAATCATTTTTAGCCTTATCTATCTAATATATTTTTTTTATCTTATCAGGGAATTTTAGAAGAGACCTGGATAAAAATGATTTTTTAATCTAATGCAAACAAATCAAGTAGGAATGGGTTATAGGTATAAGCTTTTTATCAGACATTACATTGCTCATAAATTGATTTTAACAAAATTCCAAATCAATTCTTTTTCAAGTTTACATACTTCTTGTATGTTGACAGGATATTGAGAGATATATTACCAGCTTTTACCACCCGGTATTTCATTTTTTTCGACCCACTACTTATGTTTAATGTTATGTACAATTTTATCTCAAACTTGTATGCTTTTACATGCATGGATCTATACAGTAGATATATTTCTAGCTTTACTTTCATAAAAGTATGCTTATAGATTCTTTATACAATCTTTTAATCAGCAAAATGTCCACTTCACACTTGGAGTCCACATTTTACTTTGACATGAGAATCTTTATTCTTACAACAAATAATTCATCTGACCAAAACTTTATCAATAGCAGACCAAATTATAAAGCAGTGCTATTGCATAAATAAATACATTGTATATAAACAAAACTTATCTTATTTTGCAACTAATAACCTTTTAGTTCAAACCCTGACCTAAGACAAAACTTTGACCTTGACCTTAGAGACAAAACTGTGACCTTGACCTTAGAGAGACCTGACACCAGAGAAGCTTAAACAGCATAAAAATGCTTTATTATGACAGAAGAGCTTATCAAATATATGTTACTGTGGAAATACCCCACAAAAAATGAATTTGAATTATGATCGCATGAAAATCAACCTTGAAACAAATTAAATGGTGACTGAATGACCATAATTATGCCCATACAAGGACACTAATGCTTGATACTTATATGCAGAGCTTATAAATCTGGGCTTGTCTATAAGACGAGTCTGAATCTATAACAAATGTTGCCACAGAGATTTAAGTAAGTCCATTAAGATCAAATAACGCCATTATATACTTTATCCCTATACTTAAAGAAACAAGATTTACATTTTGTGTAGGAGTAGATACATTTTAATGTCAGTTCTAATGATTAGCTTGGTGTGAAAATACTGTAAATGAGGTGGGGTATTTTTCTTAGAAAAAAAAACCCCACATAATTTTATACCTTGCCTAAGATTTCAGGAAATTGATTTCAAATGACAAAAGTCTAGATACATATATATGATAAACAAATTATGCAAATTGGTTTTTCTTAGAAAGAGAGAATGTATCCTTGCATGCAAACATAACTCAGAATCTATCTGTATTCAAATAAGATTTTGTGGAATAATGTGCCACGAGACAATATAAGTTAATGGACACACAATGTAGCTCTTTGTCAAACAACAGTTTTTTGTTTTTTGTCTACAAGACTTTGTATAATAATGTTCATTTCTCAATTTTCCATTAAGTTCCTTTTTCTTAAGGTCATAAGCAATTTTGAAAAAGGTCAGTTTTACATGTATATATCAAAAACTGAATTTTGTTAGCATTGAGATTCTCAATCTGTAATACTTATAGTGCTAAAGGTACTTCCCTTTCTAATATTTATTACCAAAATCTTATGTGCTTTTAAATAAGTTTTTACCATGACTTTGTTACTTGTGTGGACTTATTAATAATGATTAAGATGGTATGAATCTGTACATGAAATTAACCTTTAAACTTTCTTTCAAACATACAAATCTATACATGTATAGAAAATAATGAAGTAAAACATTCCTTAATATTCAAAAAAAATATAGAGGAAAGTGGCAATATAATACTACCGAGCAACACTTACCAACAACTGAGAGAGAATGCAGTTTGAAAGTATTTCCATAATAAACAACGAAACAAAGTCTCTGGTCCACTCTGCGAGCTTCGTCTTGCCATTTGTCAAAATCTTTCGAGCTTTTGCCTTTCCGAACCTCCTTTATGTCTCGAAAACATACTGAAATCGAAAACATAATGATAAACAATAGAATCATTTACAATACAGATTTCTAGATTAAGTTAACTAACATTCCTGTGATGTGTGAAGTTTACCGCAGTCTGTTCATTATTTTTTTTACAAAAACGCATTCCATCATAAAATTGCAAATCAAGTAGTATATTCTTCTATTAATGTATGAAAAAGTACAAAGACAAAACAGCTGGTGTGGTGAAAGTGGGGCAGTTTCCTCTTTCTGAGAAAAAATCTTCAAAAATGTATTCTATCTTGGAGTACAATTTTATGATGGACTGCATTTTAGTTTAAAAATGTATCAAATAATTGCATGTAAATGATAAGCACCAAAGAAAGAGGTTATGCATACACAAAATCCTAGTCCTGAGCTTCAAAAACAAAATTCTAAATGTGGTTCAATTTATGGACATCAAAATTTGACCTTGACTGCCAAGGTCAATCATATTTCCAGAGTGACCCTGAAGCTCTTCTTAAGCCCAGGCATAAAATTCTTATAGAATGGCTAGGCTCCAATTTCAGCACAGTGAGACATGACTATTATTCGACCAGGCATACACAGGGCTCTCTCTCTGTTTTGGGGGAACATCACATACATGTGTCTGTCGATCAGGTCATGTAAGTAGGGGAATTTTCATGTCACTTTCCCTTGCAAGGAAAATTTTAGACAATTCTTTTCAAAGGATATTCAACTTCTGACATTCTGATATTGCTAAGGGTCTCATGTTTTTGGCAGTTATATGTAGGAAAAGTTTTAAAATATTTTCATGGGATTTTTTTTAAGTAGGGAAAAATATAAATGTTTCTAATCATTTGTAAATTGACAGCCTTATGATACATGTAGCCAGCATTTATTGCCATAAATGGTAATTTAATGATTTATAAATATTAGCCTCCACCGAAGGGGTAACATTTTCTTAAAAGGTACACTGTCCAACCAGTATACCAGTAAACCAGGGTCGAAGCCTTCTGCAGTATATACTGCTGTACATACATGGAAAACTGGTACTTTAGCTCCAATACAAGTCAATTACAGATCTTATCATTTTTACATGATTGAGCACTGAAAATGCACAAAATGAAACTATTTTTTGTGTTTACATGCTTATAAGGTCTACCATTTTCTCGCACTATAGAAAATAAACGTACCTAAATGAAATGTGACTTAGGGCTTTATAAAGATTTGGTAAAAATAACCATCTAATGGGCTTACAGTCTATGCCTTATTGACCTAACGATTATGCGCATTAATGTCTACAAAGATTCATGACAAAGTCACAGGGGCGTACATGTCCTTCTTAGCAATGCTGGTGTTGCCGCAAATCACTTTGCTTCATAACTGAGAGTAAATTTTCACATACATGTAGTTTTTTTTATCTAACCTATGCACAGATGCAGTTTTTTTTTTATCTAACCTATGCACAGATGCATTTAAGCTTTGTTGAATTCAAATAAAATTATCTTCATTTATTTTTTTCATAGACTGAGGGCATGACCTATTCCAGGTAGTGCTGATTGTTCATCATCTAAACCGTAAGAAACTAGTGTGGCACCGTGCCTTGTCTAAGCTTCCATAAAAATATGGCAATGTTCCCGTTTAAAAGTAAAAAATTTGAAATGAAGTGACTCTTTTGAAGTATTTTGCCTGAAAACATGTTGGTGTGATAGAAACACTGAAAATCTGCAGTATATCGTGGTTAATGTGGTTTTTTTTGTTGTACCCATGTTACTATGAGCTTCACAAAAGTTTCTGATAAATAAAAATGATTATACGTCCATCTACACATTTATGAATAAAGTTATTCAGTAAAACAAGCAAACTGCAGATGCCAATTTCAATCGTAATACCTGTCAAACAAAAACCAGATATCAACCTCATGGTTATGTATAAAACTTCCCGAATGAGTACAGTATGATAAATCAATTAACGCATACCCCTTTGGTAACAACAACAGCATTCGACAAATAAATACAAACATTCTGTTAAGTTTTATACTTAATCTGTAACCGAGTGCATTAGAATTTGAATAAAATAAGTAACAGACTATAGAGAAGATTATAGTTTTAGAAAACAATTTATTAAAAGTATGAAAAGTATTATAAACAGTATATCACTATAAGTAATTGAATAAAGCTGATCACACCGATATAAACCAGTAAATAATAATTTTGAGTAATGTATTTTTGATTTTTAACTATTTTTGCCTGTCAAAGTGCAAGGCAAGAACATTTTGTGAAGGGTGAGTGACCCTAGAAAAATTCTTTTAGGCCTGTAAATCTATGTATACTAAATTTGGCATGCTCATACCACATTTTTTTCAGGACGTTAATATACATCTTACTTATAAAATGCAGAAAAAATCTATATACTTTAATGTTAACAAGAGTACACATTAACTATATATGCTGTTAAATATAGTTAAAATTTTATACTTACTTGATCCTTCTGGTCGGACTCCCTGTGCCTTGATCCAAACAAGCTGACTAGTGGTTGGTTTGATCTCTAATGTTCTTCTTTCTGGTTTAGTCTTTAAGAAATATATTGTAACAACCTTCCCAGTCTCTAGATCTCCTAATAAATGCATGGTACCAGTATCTGGTAGTCCATTGTAGATGGGGGCCGCCATCTTGAATTCTATCGCGAATCGTCTTCCTGGTTAGAAACTGTGAAAAACTTACATGTTTACTACAGTGTAACAGGTTCTCACACTATCTGCTAAGATATTTTAATTCCTGCATATGCCACTTGAAATATATTACATTCCAGGACACTAATTAGCGGTTAATTACATCAAATTATAACATTCTTCCGGGGTCAACATGCAAATTCATTTCATCAAGGGACTTAACTCTTGAATCCAATTAGGCGGGCACCTGTATTGATTCGTGCTCAGACAGTCTCGAACTCGCATGATTTAATTTTTGTTACATCATGTAGGATTCCAACGTTAATTTCCGGATGTTAAATGTTTGCGACTTTCTGACTAATTATTACTGTATTAGCGAAACGAATGTACTTAAAACAGCAGGAAGCGTCATCAGTCCAAATATTTTGACGTTTCAAATGTACGTAGATTCTGAGATATTTGTTCTGAGTCAGAATCTCGCTTCTAGATAAGTGGTGTTATTAATCATACACAGAACAGCACAATATCTCAACGCGAATAAAAAATTAGTCACACAAGAAGCGTGATATGAAGCAAGTTATTCATATCATGCTCTCATACCATTGCATTTCATGCTCAAGATTGGTGTTTTTGGAGAAACTGGGCGCTACTGTACCCTTTATATGTCTATATACATGTACTTTATCAATTGGTTAAACATTTTTAAAGATTTACAAGCACCCAATGCCCTGCATTGTTTTCCGGTGCCTTTTATTACACGAGCAAGGTGGAAAAAGCTGGACATCATTTTGTATTTTATTAGGGATCATTTTCAAATGAAACAATTTCAATGCCCATATATAGTAATTCAGCATTTCAAGTTAAATCAAAAGCTATCATAAAGTTTAAACAACACTGGTCGGGAAGGTTAACTAAATGTGCTAAAAATGACAATAGCAAATTACGTGCTGGCGTAAGTGTAAACGTATTTTTTAATCTAAAAAATAATTTACTGTAATAAAGGGTGCAGAAATTGAATGTGACAGTTACGAACTGTACATAAACATCACAGCGGAAGAAATGCTTTGCAAAATGTGTATGATGAATGCAAACGAAGATGAAGACTACATTTTATATGTTATAAAAATCCTAAGATCAGATTTTCTTAATTCTTAATTTTGTGTATACATACATTTTAACTTTTTATCATGTGCATATTTGTTTTCTTTAGCAGTGAAGATAGATGAGCGGATAATAAAAGCATTATAGTCAATTCTATAGCTAATTACCCCTCGGTATATGTACGTAGCTGAGTGGCACAGGCCATCGGTTTGGTTGGACTTCTCTTCGACACGTTGACAGGTAAAGATCCGAACATGGAGGGGAGATCATGATCATAAAGGCCAAACTAATACATGTACCACATCGCGTTAATTAATAAGTTAAGCTACTAACCAGCTACATGTCCGGGAGGAGTGCATTTTGCACCGTTTTAGGTCACTTCCGGTCAGTCAAAAACTTTCTGCCTCTGCATAGGAGTCATATATTATATTAAAAAAATATCTCTGTTCTGCATGTCACAATGAAAATTTCTACAAGTGCAGCATCCAGAACCTAAACACATATGCAGCAGGTCTATTCGTATCGTTATTAATTGTGATACGTTTATTTTTAATGCTTAAAGTTTTATAGATTATTTATGGCACTAGAAATATTCTTAGCAAAAACAAGGTAGTATCTACGGTGGCATAAAGGGGACATAGAATTTTCTTATTTATTACGTGCGCACACGATAGCTTTTCAGTGGCTACGCGATACTATTACGTGCGCACCCGATAGCTATTACGTGTGCACGCGCATATGTTTTGCGCATTTGGACCCTGACCGGGATCCTCGCATGTATAGTTCGACGCCCCTGTGTCGAACCTACAGTGGTTAGGGGCAATTGTTTTTTTTTTAAATCACTCGGCCACGGAGGCCCTTAAATGATCTATGGAGAAAATAAGAAGACCATTACACTTCATCAGAAATATATGTATAAAAATCGTCATTTTCCAAGAATTGCGTCTTTCAGGTTCGCCATTGAATAGGCACTTACAACATGCATGAGTTCCTGAAATAATCCGGGTAATGCCATAATTATGGAATATCGGACCACTCAGAATCGGGCGAGACGCGACATTCCGATGAGACACGAAGCGAGGCACGATATTGTAACAGGAGATCTCGCAATGTCGAAGTATCTTGTACCAAAAGATTTCAGAAATGAATAAATTTTTACTTCTTTAGATAGGGCAAGTATGAATTTATTAATATTCAAATAATGATTTCTGAGGAAGTTAGATGCTTGTAACCCAAAGAAATTCGCGATAAATGTGAAATAATGCGTCATAAAAGTAGCAAAATGTAAACAATGTAGTATTTTGACTTCAATCCAAAATTCTAAATCACTTCAACTGTTCAAACTGCAAAAAAGCAGCAGATGAAAAATGCTTCAGGTAATTAGCCAATGAGTAACTTTTTGGAGCTATAAAAGTATACCAAAAATAAAAAGCTTTTGAGGAATACAAATAAAAGCATTTCTCAGGCATAATGGGCCTTTAAGTGATTTATGTAGACTATAAAGGGAATACTACTTAGCGGTATATATGACCTGGAATCAATTTCTTGTCTCGCGTCGACGGACGGGATGCGAAGCGAGACGCGAGATTTCGGCGAGATGCGAAACGAGTCACGATATTGTATCATTCAATATCAACCGAATACGGTGTTCCGTTTGGACATAAGTAGCATTTTTGTCTCCCTGAACAGCTATGCACAATGGTACAAAGGTGAAATTGAGATGGTACGATGATTAAAACACGATGGAACGATGGTGAAATCACGATGATGCAATGACACGATAGAGAAAATAATATCGCGTTTTCATCATCATGCCATCGCAGTTTCATCATATCGTACCATCGTATTTTCACCATTGTAACATCGTCTTTCACCATAGTACCATCACGTTTTTACCATCGTACAATCGTTGTTTCACCATCGTACAATCGTTGTTTCACCATCGTACAATCGTTGTTTCAAGTTCATACTATTGTGTTTTCACTATCGCACCATCGCGTTTTCATCAAGGTCGTAACCATCGTGCCATCGTGCTGTCACCATTGTACCATCGTGAGCGGGATTTAGTATGTTTCAGTGTACGCCTTCAGGTTAAGCCAATCAATTTCTTGAATTAGAAATATTATAATTAATAGTTCACTGTAGGTTTTCATAAAAAAAAGCATAAGCAAATCTATTGATGATTACACTTGAGGTAAAACGGCAAACCTCGATTCTAAAAAAAATTTCTGCCGTGGGGAAATATGTGACAAATAAATTATAAATAATGGCATGAGACAAATGTGCTTTCTTGTCCCTTAAAAACACATGAGACAAATGTGCTTTCTTGTCCCTTAAAAAACTTGATCGGAGCACATTTGTCACACAAATAAGTGTTTTGGGGTAGGCATTTGAGGTCCCATTTGTCTCATGTGGGACAAATGCGACCGCATCGGTCTTACGTAAGACAAATGTGCTCCGAGACAAATGTGCTCCTACAAAGCAGCCCGGACCTGTATGTTTACTTGAAAATTATCCACATCATCCATGAAAAAAAGACGTTTCTCCATCTATATGTTAGGGTAAATAAAATATTCTTATGTTTTTATTTGAATAAATCGTCTTAATACATCATATTTCTTTTCTTTGTTATGCGGATATTCTTCAGATATGTAAAGTACAAACTTTACGATTTCTTTAGAGAAGTTATCGAAGATTTATTCATATCTATGGAATAAAATCATGTTCGTTTCAGTATGTGTATCAATCATGTATATAACGTTCCTTCTTGTTCTTGCCATTACTGTGAAATAATTGAGCCGCGTCACGACAAAACCAACGTAATGCGTTTGCGACTAGCATGGATCCAGATCAGCCTGCGCATCTGCGCAGTCTGATCAGGATCCATGCTGTTCGCTTACAAACCCTTTAACAAGTAGAGAAGCTGATAGCGAACAGAATGGATCCTGATCAGACTGCGCGGATGCACAGGCTCGTCTGGATCCATGCTGGTCGCAAACCAATTATGTTGGTTTTGTCGTGACGCGGCTCAAATGTTATATTAATTGCCAACATAAATGAATAAATCCACCAATGGCGTGCTTTTAGTTAATGACATCCTAAGGTTATGACCATCAGCTTCGTGCAATACAGAAAAGTGCAACGCCTAGTTCAAATATTCAATTGTCAAGTATGTTATGTCAACGCAAAATTTTGAAAAATCTTCTTCTGAAGAACTTGTTTGTTTGATTTTGTTTTACGAGTATTTCACAGAGACTACCTGCTAATAGCAAAAAGATATGATTTGTGAAAAAAATGACTGCATGTGGGTGTAGTCTTTTAGATTCATACTTTGAAAACGTTGAACATCTTCTGAAACCCTGCTTGTTTGACTTTATTATAGTATTTTACAGAAATGATCGTGGACGACTGTCTACCAAGATTCCTTAATAAGGTTGGAGGTCACTTTCGTGTCATGACCTTAGAAATGAATGACCACAAACTGGTAAAATATGTTAGTCAGGTTTTCATATAAATGAATAAATGAAATTAAAAGAAATTGAAAGACCCTCGCTTTATGTATAGAGAGATAACTTGCAAATGTCCGTATAAATACTCCTTTTATCTTTACTTGAAATTGTAGTATTGTTTTGCATCAAATTAATCTACTGTTTTAAGCATAATAATTATTCAGGTTTTCTAAACTTCTACATAATTTCTACTGGTAAATTTATATTTTTTTCAGCAACAGTGAAATTAAGAAATTTGCACTCTAACCAAGTTCGTTTTTTTACTGCCATATATTCAGTACATTGCAATATATATATAACTTAGTCTATCATTAAGAATGAAATAAGGCGGCTTTCCATTATAAATATTTATGTATGTATACTGCTGATGTTTCCCGCCATTATTGGACTTATGCATTTTGTAAATAAATAGAGGATATTCAAGTTTTTTCTATAAATACATGATTTATTTTCATCGAGTGGTTTTCACTAGTGAAAAATAAATTTTTACAGTGAAAATATGGAAAATGAAAATACGCATTTTATTTCATCAATATTTCTCAATATTTCATTTATAAGTATATAATAAATTATCTTACATTATCTGATATTTTTTTCTGAAAGTAAGTTTTACTTTATTTTACCTATAAGTGCAATGTACATTTTATTAGGAGTTACTACACGAGATATTTTAATTACACCAAACAATGACGCAGCAAATATGATGTATTTCATTAACTTACTTAATAAGTTTAAGACGTTACATGGGTTTATTATTCACGGTCTATATGACTTTATAGAGCTTTAGAAAAAAGCCACAGGGCAATATTCTTTGATATTCGAACATTTTTCATTAATTCAAGACCAGTCATAAGGTATTTTATTGTAATTCTGAATATTGAAAATGCGTCAGTTTAAGCTTTGACATTTAGAATATTGCGACATATAATATCTTTGTCATAAAATGCAGATTTCATGATGGAATGAGAAGATATCAAACTCATCTCACGGTAAATTGTGTATCATCTTTTATTATGATATCGTTTGTAGTAAGAACAGTTAAACACATGCACGTATCTGCTTCTTTTGTTTTTTAGCATCACTTTTAAACAAAACTGCTTTTTCTCGATAAAACAAATTTGTGAACCTTGATAAATACCAGATATAATAATAGCAGCGGCTGGAAATTTTCTCACTTTTTCTGTTATATCACGCTCATTGCCGTGTTATTCTGTACAGACCAGATGTTTCTTGTTGACTTTTGTTCTCCGGCGGAGTATAGATCGATTCCTTAATTAAGAAACGTTCTGATAACATTCATGTTAGACTCAAGTGTAAAATATTGCATTCATTTTTTTTATATTTTCCGCACAAGTCAAGCCTTTAGCAACGTTACATTACCGACAGCTTCAAAACTTTGTATCATTTTGCTAACCTAAACTTAAAATATACAATGTTCGTGTGTGTATCAGACGGTAAAAGTACTTAAAAGAGCTCCACTGAGGTAAAAAAAGCATACAATTTGAAATTATTTTATAGATTAAATGAAACTTTTTAATAAAAAACTTAAAAAGAAAAACAAAGAAATTTACTCAGAATGAAATTAAATATTGATTCTTGGTCCGATTTAAGTGAAAATCTTTGCAACGCTTTTTAATTTTTGCTTCATTTTGCACAAAAAAAAAAAATTAAAAAAAATTAGGGAAAAAAGAGAAATGAGAGAATGATGAAAATTTGCACACAAGTTTTTGCCCCAGACCTACATAAAAAGGTACAAAAATCTCGGAAAAAATATTTCCAGTCCAGTGATGTCGAAAAACCTCAGTGGAGTCCCTTTAAGTTTGGTGCGGCCTGGCTGGTCATTAATATCTAATAACGTATGTCCATAACGGTTCTTTATAATTTTTACAATTTTTTATTTCTTGTGATAGGTCTGTGTATTTTTCAAAATCTTCCCACATTATAACAGCTTGTTGTCGTGTGTCTACAATAACACGGTGTAACTATATATCTAGGGCGTCCCTCAAGTCTCGACAGAAAATTTGCAATTCTAACTAAAATACTACAATTGTTCCATAACGTAAAGAAACATTGTATATTTGTCTTCTAATATACTGTCATCTATTTACACAATTTCTTATACAAGTTGGTAAGTGTTGTTTTTATAAATAGAAAATCGTTTTAGTTTACATAATGCCTCAGAAACAAATTAATTTTTACTTCTTTAAGACGTGAATTTTATAATGTTTAGAGAATATTAGATGCTTTTCACCTGGAGAAAGCAGCGATAAATGTTAAATAATTTGTCATAAAAGTAGCAATATGTAAACAAAAGCAGTATTTTGTCTTCCAAACAATCGTTTTCTTGTGTGTCTGGTAGGATTAAAAGTCCGTTTTTTTTTTCATTTACTTAACATCTAACGAGGTATAATTAACAAGAAATTACAGGGGAAAGTACAGAAAAAAATATTCCGATGTCTTTGACTTTTAACGTCTTCAGGCTTATAACACTTTTAAGATTCAAGATGACATTTTTGAGTGATCCTAACATTATGGCATTTAATACTGCGCTTTGAAGAAAAGTACGATATTATACATTATTATGTATATACAGAGTTCACGTTTTGCTTTCATTTCGCACAACAAAAATGATTATGTTAGGATCACTCAAAACTGTCATCTTGAATCTTAAAAGTGTTATAAGCCTGAAGACGTTAAAAGTCAAAGACATCGGAATATTTTTTTCTGTACTTTCCCCTGTAATTTCTTGTTAATTATACCTCGTTAGATGTTAAGTAATACTTACTTAAAGTTATCACGGGCAACAAAATGATTATGTAAGTTAGATTAACCTTTTCATCTTGTTAAAAACTAATTTGACCAAAAACAATATCATTTAAGTAATTCGATACAAATTTGCGATGTCATGGCAAACGCATATACATTTTAAAATGATTATTGATTTGATATAATGATTATATTTATGTTTTAGTAGCTAACTACTTACTGGGATATAGATTGGAAATTTGATTGGAAATAAGTACATATAAGGTTTTCATCAAAATACAATTTCTTAAATATCAACATTTAAAGGTATAAAATTGAAGTAGCGCGTTCGTATAAATGTTGCGTTATTTCTTTTGACATTGGCTTTGATTTATTTATCTGACAGTTTTATACTGCCATACGGTTGAAACTACGTCACTAAATAGCGGACTGATATAGAAAATGCTCCTAGATTGGTAACCAATCAATTTGCCGAGAAAATAATGCCGATATTTATGGAGAATTTCTCTGTAGGACTAAATTATACTTAAGACGGATTCGCAACAAGTTGTGACGGGCTGAGTATTGAATTAAGACGCAGCTTTGGGATAGTGTAATGAAATAGTGGAAGTTAAAAATATAAAAAAAAACCTGATAGAATGACTGAATGAAGAACATTCTCTGATTGACTGCTGTAGAGATTTGTATTAGTATTAAGTGGTACAGTGTTTTTTTTTAAATAACAAATCAATCCAAATAATGGTTTGAATAGGAAAAATGTAAGACTTAACGTATGAATGAGTGTGTAAAATTATTTGATTTATTTATATGAGAGATGATGAGCGTTGTTGTTCTATTTTAAATTGACGCTCTTTGTCTTTGCGCGATGACGGAATGTCAAGTGTATCTACACGTGGAACCACCTGACAGCTGTGGATTCTTTTGTGATAATCTTTACGCCGACGATGGCGCGGTTATGCGGCGGCATAGTATGCCACCTAGTCCATTCAGACTTTCCCTGTCCTCTAACGACATTCGAAACCCAGAAGTTCTTCGTCGGGTTCGTTCATTTAAAACAACCACAAAGGGAGTGGTGAACAGCGGAGACATTTTACGTAAACGCGGATCTATGAGTTTAACCCCCACTTCAGGACTGACAGTAACGTCGTCAGATTTAGACTTGACGGCGTCAAAGCCGCCTGGGATGGGAAGGGCCAGATTACCGAGCACAACGTCCCAGGGTAGTAGTGCTGAGTACAGTTTCGCTTCATCAGGGGCACCTTCTTATTACCGGATTTTAGTGCTCGGTTCTTCGGGTGTCGGAAAATCAGCGCTCATTAACCAGTTTATGTCTTCAGATAACAATACAACAGATGACCCGTCCGGTGAGTACAACACTTAATTACATTGCATTTTGCTTATTCTTTGCTTGATTTTATGTACCAACACATGTATACATGCTAATCAAAACCAAAAACTCATTGAAATTTAGGAACAATACCAATGCAATCATCCTTATTAATTCCTGTACAGAAGGATAGAAAAGGAACCTTATATCATATAAGAGAACTCTTCCGTATAGATTCTATTAAAGATAAAAAAAGCTTTAGAAATGTCTCGCCACGTTGTTTGGAATATCCCTTCTTTTTCTCCCACACATATCCGTGTTCTCATCAAAACATGTATTGAAGCGGAATGAATGTTTCATACATTTGCATACAAAGTACATACATAATGTTGTAAAGATATGAGTAATGGGCAAGCTGTTGCCATATGACATTTACATTGTTTATTGACAGACACCATACGTTTTGTGAAACACTTATTTACATACTGCCGGAAAAGTACGTAAACGACCGAATACAATTCACTTTCAAGAAATTTCTTAATCTTATACCATTAATAAAGTAGATGTCCTGAAAAATAGAAAAATGCTTTTTTAAAAGGCGGTGCTAGAAAGATGTTTCTTTCTTCAGTGTTTGTCTTAAAACAGACTCATATACACCGAAATTACAATTTTCACTTTGTTATTTAAGAATATGTAATTTCTGAATACATGAAAATAATTCAAGATAAGTTTATTGTTTAAACCTTTCACAAGACACCTTTTTATTTAAGATTATGATCGGACCATTAAAAGAACTGAACGGAATAGAGAGTACAAATGTATACATTTTCCAGAGTTCTAAATAAAGTTGAATTTCGTTTGTGATATGACAAACAGTTTATAATTATAGGTATATAAGGCAGTGAGATATTGTGTGTGAACACTAAAAGAAACATATGCAGAAACGAAAACAAGGCATATCATAAAAAGGAAGAAATGATAAAAAGTTTAAACAGTTAAAGGCGCATTATGCCTAAGAAATCCATATTAAAAAAAAATCTTTAGAAATATCAAACATGCGTTTTAGTAATGTTTTAATGATGGATTTGTATTAAGTTTTATTTTTAACAACTAAAGAAAGTAGCGCTGAATGTACAGAAATATGTCATAAAGGTAGAGTAATGTAAACAAAGCATGACTTCCATATAATATACTTTCACTTTAGTTAAACTAATTGCCAAAAGAGCAAAAGAAGCAAAAGTATATATATACGGCAAATGAGTATTTTCTTGAAGCGGTAACAAGAAAAATAAAAAGTAGAGAAATAAATATTATAGCATTTCTGAAACATAATAGGTCTTTAATAAAATATATGATAAATAGAAAACATTTAACAACTACAACAAATACTAACATAACAAATTAAGAACAAACAAAAACAAGAGCAAATAGTAAAACAAAACACAAAAAAACACAACTTCGAATACTTAGTATTTAAAACATATTAGATTCTATGTATTATGTTACTGGACATTCACAAAACTGCATGATTACAGCAATGATGTATGTTGCTAACCATGCTAACCATAAGAAATAAAAAAAAAAAGGCCATAACTTACTAAGATATCACTTAAATGTAGGGAAGTGTGTGACATGTTGCCACAAGGGAAAAATAGGAAATCCGTTAATAATCGCGTTGGTCGCATTACCTCATTATGTCAAACCAGCAGAACTATATTAATCTGTCCCCATTAAAACATAGTTTATTACCACACTATTTCCGTTCAATTTCTAAAAAAAGACGACAACTGTAATGTGACATAAACATATGCCTTTGTTATTGCTGGGGTTCTGATTCTAAAATGTCAAATATTGATTTTCTTGACCAACACTGTAAAGGCCTTATGGCGATTTTCCAGCTTTACTGGTGGAGGAAGACCTCAGGTGAACCTCCGTACATTATTTCAGACTCGAACTGGCTTCTGAGTAAAGAGTAGACCGTGAGCTAGCTGGATAGCATCCTTACTTGAAAAATTCCGAGATCGCTGGCGAAATTCGAACCCACAGCAAGAAGGGGGAAGTGGTTTGAAATCAATGACCTTAACCGCTTGGGCACAAGTGTCTCATCACAACATGTTTACAAACATATGATACATATGTATTTTGAACATTTCATGTTTCCATGAAGATTTCTATCTGGTGTTGGATATCTATTATACATACATACATTCTGAAAACATTAGCATTGTCAAACACATACGTTTCGTATCTTATTAAAGTGATGTTATTGTAATAATAATTGCAATAATTTAGTCAGTTCAACATGCTAGAAAATCATGTATCTCTTTAAATTTTTCACCATCTTACCATTGATTATGTACGAGGCCTGTATATATTACAACTAGTTAATAAAGAAAAGAAACTCATTTAAAAGCAAATAATAAAAATGTTTTTTTTCACTCAGAATACGAACAACGAGTAATGCATGTTTGCAAAGTAAAATTCAAATACTGGTGTATTTAATTCAACTCGTACGTTAAACTTTTAAATGCCATTTTAATTAACCGAAATAAATAAGCAATTTTACCATCAGAAATGTCCTGTGTCTAGAATAAAACGTAACATTGGCGTCAGTGTTATGCCTTTGTCAAGTATCAGACATCACTTTCTAGTCTTACAGGATTGATTTTTAAAATATTTATCCTGTTATAAGGTCTACAACAAATAAGCGTTTTACTTCTTAAGAAGTGTACAATGATAAACGCATAAATAGCTCTCACAAGAAAGATTTTCAAAACATTTTTGTAAAAAATTATTTGGATATAACACTTTTAATTAAAATAAAACACAGGTATTTCTCATAAAATCATATCTGCTGATTCTGTGCGAATGACTTGTTAAATTCGAATTAATGCATCCGGTGCATTCTATATACATAGATAAACTTGATTTACCCGAAAAATCATGAAAATGAAATGATACAACTAGAGGCTAAAGGATAGAAAGCCAAATCTACATTAAACTTGGTAGAAAGTTTTGTATTAGATATATTTTGAGGTATGTTACAATTTGATGTAACACTAAGGGTTTGACTTACAGATTGAGGCATCATAACTGCAGCCACCGTTTGGCCCTGTGTGATCGTAAGATGCGACTTAATGGGTTCGAATTATTGGAGTGTATGCATCTCTTGGCTCCAGCAGGCGAAATGGTTTTGACCCCTGGTGTTGCTTTGAAGTTCAGATAAGATAAAATCATCTTTCCTGTTTCGGTGCCATATAACTTAAACTGTCGTAAAACCAAACAAAACAAACGAGACAGTTGGTGAACTGAACAATAACTGACATTGTCGGCACTTTCTCAAATATCAACCATTCGTGTTTTTAGAAAACTGAATTCTAAGTCAACAAGAAAAATAAAAGTATCATATGTATGAAACAGACTGTTGACAAACAACGAAACCTCTACTTTTGAAATAGCGAATTTCTATTTACAAACAAGAAACGGCTCTTTTGTTTCTAAAATGGAAATAATGTTTTTGTAATATATTCATTAATTTGTAATTCTCTGATATTATTTGTCATATGTGCAACGGCAACTTTCATCTGAATACAGCCATAAATTTCCATAAATATCAAAATCGGCTTTTGTCATTTAGTATACAGCAGAGATGTAATTGTCATTTTAGTACTACGTTAGATCAGACCAATTTCTGTTTGTCATTGCTAGAATGATTGCATTTTATATCTATTTTCAGTAATGATATATCTATTATTGTCTTAAAAAGGAAATTGCAAAACAGACAGCACATAATTCGTTTGTTGTTATATAATCTAAATAAAGATCAGATTTATCGACACTTACTGGTCTGAGGCATTTCCGTCTACATGCATTTTCTATACACGTAGTTAATACAGACAATTGTAAAATAACAGAATGTAAGAATTAAACAAATGAAACCATTTAATGGCTTACAGAATCATCTTCATTAAATTCCCATCGAATAGTTGATAAAGAAACAGTACACACGATGGCTAGAGTCACTGATGATATATTTGAAGTGGCACAAACTAAAATATAAACCAAAACATTCCAATGCTTCCTTTGTACCTATATGTTTGAAATCAGATAAATACAAAAGCTTTAGAAACAAATGTGAAATAACAAATAGAAATTGTATAGATCTTTAAACATACTGGATTTAGTATATACAAAGGACGAAATCAGTGCCTAGAAAATTGCAACACATGTAGATATGAAAGCACTAGCGTAAGTAAGATCTTCAATAGAACAACAACGGGTGTGCCAAGCATGTAAAACTAAGCAAACGGGATTTGTTTTTATTGGTTTATGTTAAAAGTATTTATATACTAAAGGCTGACGCAAATCTCTACGATGATGTGTAAACATACTCTTATATTGTCTACAACCAGGCCACTTATATTGTTATATAAGCATTAGACGGCTCATTGTCTATTTTTTTTAGAATTTTTTAGAAAATAAAATACATTTCTGGTATATGAGAAATTATTACTTAGATTTGTGAATTAAGCTGTAAAATTTAATAAAAAAGAGCGAAAGTGAAAAAGCAATTTCAAACTTATTTGAAATTTAATGTCATCACAAAATCAACATAAAATGTTCATTTTAAAATGATACTGTAATTTACAGGATATAGGAATTATTGGAGATAGTATAACTTTTTTTTGTAACAATCATTGACCCTTTATGCAAACATTAGATAATATTAGCAACCGTGTTAAACAAACAGTAAAGTTTGTTCTATGACTGGAATACTTTCTCATGTTTACATTGTTTGATATGACGACGAAAGAGCAATATACATATGTCACAAAATGTAACACATTAGTAATACATGCAAAAATATCACCCATATTAAATTTCTCTTATTCCTTGTCGGTTTATAAGAATTATTAGATTAAGCTATTGCATAATATACATAGTGTTGTGAATAAATATACAAGCACCAGTTCACCAATGGCATTAATAGTTGTAAACGTTTAGACAACAAACATCGTAACACCAGGAAATCACCGTGGGGCAATGTTCACAAGGACCCTACTTTATTTAAATATCATTACTATTTTCCTTTTTTGTATCCATACTGATTTCATGCAAGAAAAATACAGAAAAGGGGAACTCCCTTTAGGGCAATGAAAACGAAATTTCAAAAGTCAAAATTTAAAAAACGATTTGAATGAATCTGTTCGTGATAGAAACTGTAAGGTAAACAATCTCCAACGCTCCCTATCACCGATTTGTGCAGTTTCCAATCTTCAACACAATCAAGTTATAAATTACAATAAATCTTAAATTTTGCGATACAAATGTTGTTGATATTACCTTTACCTCGACGTTACATTTAAACTTTAATCTAAGGTATTAAGTACACTTTAAAATGTTAATTATTGTTTATTTCATTTGAAAGAGCAAGAAACCTATCGATTATTGTAATTTATCTGAGCAGCTGTAGCAACAGAGTAATTTGTTAAGATTCAGGATTTATTTCTAAAACACCGTTAACTACGAATAAACGTCCATAGATGTTGGACAAGAGTACACTCGTATGTATTTTATTTGACACAGTCAAATATTTCAGTTTCGGTCAACAACACTGCTTTTATATTCACCTTAAAGTTTATTACCGCGCCATTTCATTCAAGGTTTAGTTTACATTTTATACTTAGAATTTATGTTATGATTATCACACTTTGTTTAATTATAACGTTTTTGTATCTTTTCATTTCAGGTGTTGACAACACTGTTTCTGTGATGTTGGATGATGAGGAATCATTACTTGAGTTCTGCAACTTTCCTGATGAACAGGTATACACTGCTTTGCACATATATTATATTACAATTTTTTTTTTCAGTCTATGAGCGAACCACATTTCTACATTTCTGTGATTAAACACCTGATGTAATTTCGTCTTGTTCATGTTGAAAATAAATTCTGTTTGCACTTTAACAAAAAGTGTACAAATGTGCTTGTAACAAAAACATATATTTTACTTGCCTAGTGTAAAATAGAGAAGAGAGAAGAACGAATTCCCTAAAGAAAGTCCAACACGACAAACTTTAAACTGTTGCAGACACGGTTTGATTGAGCCTCTTCATGGACTGTACTGTCAAGTGCAAACTATCGTCCAAGCCCCTCTAGCACTGACTGAAGTCTATTTTTATATATGCTATATAATATTATGCTCTTTTACTCTACAGTATTATGATACTGTATTAACTTCACAACAGAAACACATGTTATAAAAGCAGGTCTTACTTTTTGTATTTCTATATCACAAAATGACAATGTTCATTGATCATGAAAACATATTCTTTCATCATATTTCTAAGCAAATTTCATTTACAA